GTCAATCTCAAATAGAATGTTTTAGCGCCCAAGTTGTTGTCGCTATGTTAAAAATAAGGTACACAGTGCGTACATGGTCGGACATTCAATACATGCCCATTACCTTATTATTAAAGAGTGATACGTTTTGAAGTGATCCTTCGTCATCTTATTTGAATATATGACTATAAAACCAACTACTAAAACAGGTTTCTTTAAAGACAGCGGGGCTTTAAAGAATAATTTAAGACCGTTTATTGGAAGTTTACTAAGATGACAAAATTGCTAATTTAAATCTTAAGTGTAAGCTGTTGTTGACTAAGATGGTACAAATATGAAATGATATCTACAACTGTGGTCATTATGTACTGTCTTGTGAAACCATAGCTACCCAAATAATTATACTTGTTTACACTGACAAGTCCGTTATGCTGAAAGTAATGACGTGAAGTAAGCTAGGCCAATAAGATGTGACCATGTCAGTGTCCTACAAGCAGAATAAAGGAGAGTATGAATTATAATCATTATAACGTATTAATAGCTCTTTTACGTTAAATGAGCTTTGACATTCCCTGCCAAACTTTCACTGAAGTGCAAGCTAAAATCTGAGTCACATCAGCAGCACCAGAAATCAGTCTACGGTGTTGATAAACAATGTAATTAGAGCCGGAGTTTGCTACAGATTGCTTCCCTGTGAGTAAGGAGCAGAGCTAGTTTAACTGACATCAAAGTCAGTCACAACTGGGCTTGGGTTTATCTCAAAGCAGTAAACATCGCTGGCAAGTGGAATTCTTAATTCAGGTATATAAGCTTAGAAACGATACAAAAATATCTGTGTGAGCCAGAGACGATTCATTTTCGTTACTTGGAAATTTCTACTGCTAAATAAATCGATGCAAAAGTAGCATAGAACACTAAAATTTTTCCTTGAAGCATCCTCGATACTCCCTGAGAGCTAAATAAATGCTATGCATGTCAACAGCAAGTCTGTACGTATTGTTGTAAACTGTTCCCCATTTCAGCATTGTTTTGTCCAAGTTAAGTACAGATTAAGGTGCTCAGAACTAAGTCGAAGTTCCAGTGAAACAAGTTTTTAGGAAATCTTCAAGGTAATTCTCGATTAGCTCAATTGCAAGGTATTATAAGCTAACTCAGTTTGCTCAGGTCTGCTCAAGGACGCTTCAAGGCTTAAAGTCACACAATCGCGGGATCACGCTTGCGAACGAAATCAGCTATATCGACCTGAGTATCGATCCCCGCTCTGATGCAATGTGTTTGCATGTTATATTAAATCAAACTAAAACTAAGAAGAAATACTCAAGTTTTGTTCTGGTAAACAGCTACGCCACACACACAAAGAACTTGCTGGTAAACAGCTACACAACACGCAAAGAACTTGCCGGTATTCGCAACACGAAAAGAACTTGCTCGTAAACAGCTAAGCCACATTCTTAGGGGGCGGCGACCTTTGAGCTTTCAGGGTTGATGAGGGAAGGGTGGGTAATTCGAGCTGAGCATGAATTTTATTTTATTTTTGGATCCTGAACCTCCAAGATATACCTGCTGTTGCGGCAACCTTGTTCTTAAAAAACATACCAAAAGGTTTTGTGTTGTCATTTCCTATGAAGTTAAAAGATTCTTATGAATGTGCTTGTTTTCTGTATGTTAGGGCAAACTCTAAGGAAATCTGCGAATAAATGTCTTTTCCTTCTTTTTCATACATTAGCATTTTTGTTCACGATTCATGGCAGCTATCTCGGAGAACAGGCCATTTTACGTTGGTCTGTTCAGTGAGCTGGCCTTTGAATGTCAGTGAGGCTGGAGGTGACCTTGTTTTGATAAAGACCTCACTGCTCAAGTTGTTCTAATGCTAACTAGGTGCACCTACATGACAAATTAAAAGCAGAGAGGTCTGTATCAAACCAAGATCAACTCCAGCCTCGCTGCCATTGAAAGGCCAGGTCACCGAGCAAAGAACTGTAAAATGGTCTTTTAGAAATACCTGGTTATCCCCAGTTTTCTTTCTTGAATCCAGTCCTAACCTGGCGAAAAGACCTTTGTATTTAGTAGGCACTGTCCTTGATATTGCTAATTGTGTGTGTGTGTGTTTTTAATTATCATTGAGATTATTTAACACGAAGTCCTCAATATATAACAATTGGTTTCTTTCTTTCTGGAAATGTACTTTTTAAAACAGCGAGCCAAAATTGTAAGTAATCGATTTTATTTGTGCGTCTGAGCAGATTGCCTAAAAGTGTTCGGGGCACTTTAATTTGTAACATCATGGATACGGCACTTTTGCAACAATAGGGCAGTTTTGTAACAATATAAGGCACTTTTGTAACTATGGGCATTTTTGCCACCTCCAACTGATTCTTTTGTTCCCATTCTTTAGAAATCGGGTTACCACATGATAAAACGCGATAACCTAAAGTACACTTATCTCACTTTATTCATTTCTTTATTTGACTAATGATTAACGAGAATTTCAAAGTAGTTCATTTTGAAGCTGGAACACACTTTTTTATAAGTGACACATTTTTGCAATTGTGACCCATTTTTCCAGGTGCGACCCATTTTTTCAAGTGTAACCCCTTTTCCAAGTATGACCCTTTTTTCCAAGGGTGACCACTTTTTGGAAATTTGACCCATTTTTCCAAGTGTGGCCCTTTTTTAAAAGTGTTACCGTTTTTTCCAAGTGTGGCTCTTTTTCCAAGTGTTATGGTTTTTTTCCAAGGATGACCACTTTTTCAAAGTGTGACCCATTTTTTCATATGTGACCCTTTTTACCAAAAGTGAGCCTTTTTCCAAGGGTGACTACTTTTTTAAAAAAGTGACCCTTTTTTCCAGGTTTGACCCATTTTTTCCAAGTGTGACCCTTTTTTGTAAGTGTGACCCATTTTTCGAAGTGTGATCTTTTTTTGCAAGTGTGACCACCTTTTCCCATAAGTGACCCATTTTGCCAAGTTTGACCAATTTCTCGAAGTGTGACTCATTTTTGCAAGTTTGACCAATTTTTCGAAGTGTGGCTCATGTTTGTAATTGTGACCCATTTTTCGAGTTGTGACTCATTTTTCTAAGTGTGACCCTTTTTGCAAGTGTGACCCATCCGACGACTTTCCAAAAGAAATGGATGAGATAAGAAGGAAGTTATACCCCGTTCTCAAGGCTGCCAAACGTGAAAAGAAAGAAGCGTACTTTAAGGTAGAAAAACTTTTTATCAACGGCTCACTCTACCGAGGACCGGAAACAGCTCTTTTTCCTCTGTACGGATGTTTAATGAACGGTTAGTTTTAAATATGTTTAATTGACTTTCTTGCTCCGCCGTACA